AAAAAAGTAGATCATAATCATATTTATGATAATTTTCCAGGCAAATTTGCCTGGAAAAGCCTACAGTTTAAGGGATAAGAAACAAAAAATTAATTTTGTATGGCCTTATGTTTCTTGTTATTATTTATTGTTAGCAATTTAGTTTGATACAAAGTTCTTTATACATATCTAATAGATTGTTAAAATTTAAAATTTAAGATATCAATAATCGAATTATATATATCTATAGATTTTTTATATCTTGGTTTATTCCTTTTCTGCTCTTATAGCAATATTCATCCATATGCATTCCATCAGCATAAGCTATCTTTATTGATTTTTGATAACATTCCAATATTTTCTTTTATTCGCTATTTCTGGTATTTCTTCCATCAGAGCTTTCAGGTTTGTTTTCTATTTTGTTGTCTTTCATAATCATCAGTAAATCTAATATATCTACCGCATGTATAAATTACGAATTCTATTGTATAGGCAGATTTTGTTAATTCAGATAATTATTAAAAATAAATGATAATAATATGAAAAGGTGAAATCCGTGCAGAGGTGATAACTTTCTTGATACAGATCTATACTTAATTAGAGTTAGTTACTATTTTAATTAGGATTTGCATCAATAATATAACTATTTCTACGTGGGTTTCACCCTGTTGTATAATAATTTATAAAATTTGATTCAATCATTTATATATGAAATTGCCAGTATTAAGTATTAACAATACAATAAAATTAAATTGTATGAATTGCATAACTGGTTCATCGCTTCTAAGTTGTAAAATTAAAATAGGCTTTTATGCCTTTGTTAGATAATTATATGAATAAAATTTTTAATCAATTCGGTCTTCAAATGTTTGTATTAAGCAAATTCAATAGCTTTATTATAGTTTTGCATTATAGTTTTGCATTATATTGTAGAATCACAATTCTAATTCACTAAGACTTTATATGCTATCAGTATTTGTAATTTTTAATAAATGAACTATAGTAAAGATATTTACTATCTTATAATCACCAAGGATTTTATTAATATCATTAATTTTCATATTTATTGCATAAATTCCAAATTGAATCTTTAGTAAAACCATCTCTAATTACATGAAAAAGTAATTTAAATCTGTATAGATTATTTGTTGCTAAATATGTGTTGGCTTGTATAACTATCTAATTCTAATTAAGTAGTTAGTTTAGATTTAGGTTTTATTTTGTTTTTTATTTTGTTTTTTTTTTAATTACTAACCAGTACTCAGGCAAATTTTTAATATAGACTATTGGGTAATTTCTTCATCATCTACTGAAATTATCATTTGTTCCTCTGATTCTGTTTCAATACCGTGAAGAATACTATATTTTTTAAATAAATTAATGATCATATTAGCTGGAATATCAGCCCACGCCTCAACTATCTATTGATAAATAAGATTATATAGAGGTTTTTTTAAATTTCTTCCTTTTGTAAAATCAAAACTACCAAGTGCTATCCAGTTTTGCTATTTTTCTCACATTCGGTTCTTGAACAGTTTGTTGATATACACATCAAGTGGCTGAACTAACAAAGTAAGTCTACCAGGGATTATGCTTCTAACCGTGTTCATTTCATTACATTTTGCTTTAACAGAGTCAGTAAGATATTCTTCAAAAAAATCTATCACTAATAAGCTATATTTTTGTTCACAAGTTGAAATCCTTTTTTTCAAATTTCATCTAACTATTTATTCATTAAAGTTTTGTCCATCCACCTATTTTCTTGCATTTTAATAATGATACCCAAGGAAAATGGACCTCGGAAAGTCTTTTGCTTTTAAAAATTACTATGCGGAGAGTTTAACTCTATTAGCCAAGATTGCAAAAACACATGTGAACCAGTTTTTTTCATTGTCTATATATACAAAGTTTGCCTAACCCTACCGGTAGTTCTTATTTGAACTGTTTTTGCTAAACAGTAATCTATAGTAAGATTGCCAACCATATCAAAGTAAATAGGCGTTTCATCCATATTTGCTATACAGAATAACTCATAGTTATTTATATGTTACGACTTTTTGATAAATTCACAAAACTGATCTAATTGTTCAGATAATTTATAAGGAAGTTTCTGCCCAACTTTAGTACGGTGTCGAAATACAAGGTTATATTAGTTCATAAATCTCTGGTACCAAGAATTTGAAGCTTCAAAAGTTTCTAAAGTATTAGGGTAGTTTTGTTAAAACCTAGTTCTAAGAAGTTCTTTCATTTTAAGCTTTATTGTAGACAATGTTACTGCAAGACCATCTTGTCATAATTGAACAACTCATTCATTTAATACCTTTTCTGCAAAAGAATATATAGCTTTCCTTCCAGAACTGATACTTCTACATGAACGCACAGCTTCTTCTAACTTTTTTTCTTGTTTTCGCTACCTGGATACTTGAGAATGATCAATACTAAATATTCATGCTGCTGCTTTATTAGACATTTCTTTTGCTTTTAAAATAATTTCAAGCTTTTGTTTAACCGTATAACTTTATGTTTTGTAGACATGTTTTGATCAATCTTCAATATTCACAATTGGCTTTATATGACTTCTCATGATATTAGTGCGTAACTTTAAATATTGTGCATTAGTAATCTTAAGACTTCCTTTTTTTTTTATTTTTTTTATTTTTTATTTTTTTTATTTTTTATTTTTTTTATTTTTTATTTTTTTATTTTTTATTTTTTTATTTTTTATTTTTTTTATTTTTTATTTTTTTTTGAATTTAGCTAACTTTAATTTCTGGTTAAATTATAAACTTTTAACTAATCTTAATTTTTGCTTAAATTTAAAATAGAATTTGAATTAGGGTTTGGGTTAAAGTTAAGATTAAAATAAAGTTTTTTA